AGGAAGTGAGTGGACGTCGTGAGATACTGTAAAATGGGGTCTTCCTCTTCCCCTCCCCCATGACGACATCACGTAGCTGGTGGATGTTGGAGACCTTGCGCTCCTCCACCTTCCGTGTGAGGACGCCCCACAGATGCTCAATAGGGTTTAGGTCTGGAGACATGCTTGGCCAGTCCATCACCTTTACCCTCAGCTTCTTTAGCAAGGCAGCGGACGTCTTGAGATACTGTAAAATGGGGAAGTCCTCTTCCCCTCCCCCATGACGACATCACGTAGCTGGTGGATGTTGGAGACCTTGTGCTCCTCTACCTTCCGTTTGAGGACGCCCCACAGATGCTCCATAGGGATTAGGTCTGGAGACATGCTTGGCCAGTCCATCACCTTTACCCTCGGCTTCTATAGCAAGGCAGTGGACGTCTTGAGATACTGTAAAATGGGGACTTCCTCTTCCCCTCCCCCATGACGACATCACGTAGCTGGTGGATGTTGGAGACCTTGCGCTCCTCTACCTTCCGTGTGAGGACGCCCCACAGATGCTCAATAGGGTTTAGGTCTGGAGACATGCTTGGCCAGTCCATCACCTTTACCCTCAGCTTCTTTAGCAAGGCAGCGGACGTCTTGAGATACTGTAAAATGGGGAAGTCCTCTTCCCCTCCCCCATGACGACATCACGTAGCTGGTGGATGTTGGAGACCTTGCGCTCCTCCACCTTCCGTGTGAGGACGCCCCACAGATGCTCAATAGGGTTTATGTCTGGAGACATGCTTGGCCAGTCCATCACCTTTACCCTCAGCTTCTTTAGTAAGGCAGTGGACCTCTTGAGATACTGTAAAAAGGGCCAATTACTGACTTTTTACTTGTGGGTCCCAAAGACCTCCAGAACAAAAGAAGACCGGTGCGGGTTTTCATGGAACATTCTCTATTCATCTCGGTATTTGGATATACAGGTGAAACTCGAATAATTAGAATATCGTGCAAAAGTAATTGCAGTAAGTGCTGCAAAAGGGGCCCAAACCAAGTACTGAGTACATATGCATGCTTGTACTTTTCAGAGGTCCGATATTGTTCTATGTACAATCCGTGTTTTATTGATTGCATGTAATATTCTACTTTTTTGAGGTTGTGGATTTGGGGTTCTTGGGGTTTTCATGAGCTGTAAGCCATAATCATCACAATGATGACAAATCACGGCTTGAACTATCTTGCTTTGCATGTAATGAGTCTCTCTCATATATTAGTTTCACCGCATAAGTTGCATTAGTGAAATAAATGAACTTTGCACGATATTCTAATTATTCGAGTTTCACCTGTATGTACTTTTGATTAAGGAATACACCTATAGCAGAGTCCGGCCAAGACACATAACCGTTAATCTCCGGCGCTCCGAGTGATGTATTGTAAGTGAATTCTTTGTCTCTCTTTCTTTTTATTATTTCTCTTTGGGTTACAAATCACAGCCGTACTTAACTCTCTCAGACACTTCGGGATTAATTGCAAAGCACTTTTTTTTTTTCTTTTATAGATCCTTTTAACTTTGTTTTTTTTTCTTTTTACCTTGCAGGAGGAATTATTATGGTGGGAACTGGGCCAGTTTCACATTTTCAGGTTTACAGTCCTGGATTGATGAGTACAAGGTAAGTGTCACATTGTCACTGGAAACATTGTAGAAGATTGCTCGCTTAACCAGTTGACATCCGCGGTGTTACACCCCCTTCCCATCCAGGCCATCACTCAGTATTCAGCGCTGCGGTACTTTGACTGACATTTATTCCGTCATGCAGCGCTGTACTGAAATGAATTTTATACCCTTTTTTGGGGACAGATAGAGCTTTCTTTTGGTGGTATTTATTCACCACTGGGGGTTTTTATTTTTTTACTATATTAAGGAAAAATCACCGAAATAAAAATAAAAAAACAGTTTCCCCTATATTAAATGATAAAACATTTATTATTACCCAATTTTTTGGTAAAATATAAAAGACGGGGTCACGTCGGGTAAAAAGACACCAAACATGTCAAGCCTTAAAATTGCGTGCGCGCGCGAAACCTCAAAAAACGATAATACCCAAAATTGGCCATAGGCGACGCTTTAAAAGCTGTTACCGCTCATCAGTTTAGTGTTATCAGTGATTGATGGCCCTAAAATGATT